ACTTATCTCTTAAATATTTTTGCTGTGCAAAGCAAAACAGGTAGAAGCCAATCCTTCTTTTTCTCCCTCCCCCCCCACAATATGTATATAATGTACATAAATAAAATCTCAAATGGAGCAATTTCCATTTAAGTATCTCCCTACATGATTCCGATTTCAATTGTCAGTGATTTATTTTTCATCATTCTGCGACATATTAAGATATACAGTTTTGAAAATTACAACAGGATTCATCAGCAATGTTAACTAAGTAAATAAATGCATCTGCTGTGATTTCTCAGTGTATTCAAACACACAGATTAGCAGCCCTCTTTCAATCAACAGTGACACAGAATAACAATACGAGTTTCTAGCTCCACAGGTGCTCTCAAGTTCTCAGTCATTCCACCTGATGCTCCAAACATTTTGTATAGCAAGAGCACACCACTCAAAGAATTGCAGGGCTTAAATTTCACACACTTCCAGGGCTCAATACTACAAGGATTCTATGATTTGGTTTAAAATTCTAAATTCACTTATTACGCAGCAAAAGAATTGTTGGGTTTTGTTCTTAAAGAAAGAAACCCTCAAAATACAGGATTGCATTATTAGTATAGGCTCTGTGGCATGTCATGTATTAGATAACACAGCTTTTATAACTCAAGGTGTCCTGCTCTCCCCCCATAAAAATTTCTTAGGCTCTACAATGTAACACAGTATACCTCAAATTTGCCCTCACTTTTATAGCTCAGCTGGATTGTACAAATAGTCAGTTAGAAGAGATACATAATCCTCCTGTCAGGCTGCTTCTTGAAAGAGTGTGCAATGTTAGATACTTCACAGAAAGATGATAAAGAACGTAACAGTGCAAAATACCATGCACTATTTTGTTACTGGGCAGACTCATGTGGTGATCAGCAGGAGGTGCTTTCTGTTGAGAGTTTTAAATGAGTAAGAACTACAGAATTTGGTCTTTTCTGCCCTATAACACAAAGAGCATTGCTCCTTTTAATTTTATCCCAGTTGGTGCAAAAAAAAAATCACACAGGCCTATTGTAGTGAAAGGAACTGCAGCACAAAGAATATGACTTTTTTTCCTAACCACTCTGCTGCTGCATAAACAAGCCTGACATGCAAAAAGTGAGAGAACTCCCCATGTGGAGGGAAATTTTGTCCCTCGGATTAAGGCAACAATTAGTAACCAAAAATAATCAAACTCTGAGCAAACAATTTGACTTTTAAAATTTGCCCCTCCCCAAAAGGACACCATCTTTGTAACAAGCGAGAGCTTTTCCATAATCAGGAGTAGTGAGCTGATTCTCATGCAGTGCAGAAGGAACACGTGTGATGCAACTGATGCCACTAGAAGGTCTCCCTTGTGTGAGAATACAGTTGAGCCTATTTTGGCAAGAATTCTCAATTTACTATAGAACTGGAAGATCTTCCACTGTGTGCTACTAGGGTTCAAGTGGTTTTGTGAAGGCTTTGCTTTATCAAGATGCTCTTCTGCAGCACCCGCTACAGGTAAGAGTGTTCAGCTTTGTCCTAATTTGTACCAATGCAAATTCTACCTCTGAATTCAATGGTAATGGCCCAAGACCAATACCTTAAGATTCTGAAGATACCAGCCTCATGCAATAGCCTAGGGACAGAAGTTACACATAAATCAATTTAAGTGATCAGAAACTGATTTAAAACTGTAACAGAACAGAAGCTCAGTGCATCTCAACCATTTTCACAATGGCGGAAGCTGGTTTAAGATAAATCTGGTTGAATGCAGTATCAGATGTAAATGATTTAGGTCAAACAGGTTTATGAAAATTCTGTCCCATACCCCTTCCTGGTTCAAGTTAAATCAGAGTCCCCCAGCATAGGCTGTGCGTTTACTTCTTCCTGCTGCCCCTGAGGTCTCTGGAATTTGCAGACCAGACTCACAGCAGCAGGACTCTTCAGGGTTGCTCATCACTTCCTCTTCCTGCTTCCAGGTGCCTCTGGGATTTGTAGTCTATGATAACAGTCATCAGGACTCCACAGAATTATTCCCTTCTGTTCAATACATGCTCGCTTCAGAGAAAGGACTATTCTTGTCCACACTTTTATTAAATCAATGCCACTACCTTTTTCCCCACTTACACCCTCCTCAGCCTGGCAGGTGCTGCCCCCTTCCTGCTCCAAGCAGACTCTCCAGCAAGCTCTGAGCTGGGGCTTGGCCACACCCCCCTGCTGGAGCAGGGAAGGGGCAAAACCTTGGAGCTGGCAAGCTGGACGTTGTGCTGTAGTGCTCCCCAGCTTCTGGCTTGAGCCACTGAAGGCATGTGCCTGCATTTCCTGAGTCAAAAGTGAATGTCTGTTCACTTGCTTGCCAGTTCAATCTCTTCAGCTTAGACAAACCTGCAAAGATGAAACTGATTCAGCCTCAGGCTTTTTGACTGGCTGTACTTAGTCATAGTGTCCAACAGGCAGTGTATTGTCCTACATGTAAAGGCCAATTGTCATTAACGGCATGCCTATACAACACTTCAGCACTGCAATGAGGCACTTCATACCCACTCTGTACACATTGCCTCTTGGAACAGAAGTAATACAGCTGACTTGGTGTGGCACTGGGCACATTATACTTTAGACATCTGCTACAACATGTAAATATTTTTAAATCTTGTCAACACAATGGCAAAGATTCCCCCCACCCAACCCCATTTAGAAACATCAAAGTGGGTGATACCACACTCTCACTACCTGATGCTTGATTGCACATCAACTACTATAAATTTGATTAGCAAACTGAACAGACATATATTTATGTTAGTATGGCTTACCATTCAGAATTAAATGTACAGCTCATAAAACATCCTGCATTTCAGAATTTAACAGCACTCTGTAAAACCATTTACTATGCCCTGGTGTATCCTTTTCACTGACTCTAACCAGACTTAGTACATAGCTAGCAAGAGTGATTTTCACCAGCCATTGTCTTTTAGTAAGATTTCAAAAAAAGAATAGAAAACATTGGCAGTTTCAGGCTGTGCTTTGTTACAAGGATTTCTTCAGTAGAAAACTACAAATATTGAAACAATTCAGATAAATAAAAATATCGAATATGATTTTTTATTTACCAAGGATAAATGTAACTTTCTCAGCAACTTCAGACTGAAAATGAAAATAAGGTTAATATCTAGTACACCTTGTTCTAGATCTAGTCAGTCATGTTGGGTGCTTATACACGTTCAGCAAGGCTGCTCCAACAGCAGATTCAATTGATCAAGTCTGCTGGAGCGTGGTAATTACCATGCTCCAGCAAACTCCAGTGTCACATGTATCAGCATCCCTGCACTGAAAAATGGCAGCGGGGACGCTTTAGCTATAACTCATTCAATGAGATTTACTTAAAGCACCCCCACCACCATTTTTCAGTGCAAGGACAATAATACATGTGACACTTCAGGAGCTTTAATTAGAGCAGCTCTTGGAACTGCTCTAATTAAAGCATCCCCCCACACACCTCCCTGAGCATGTGTATAAACACCCTATAAAACTTCCAGACTGCTACATCTACACAAGTGCCACAAGGTAACCTTGTTTCAGACATGACTAATGTCTTGACAAAACAGTTGATATTGCTTTGGCCAACTGCCAGTTAATATGCTTGGAGAAGGGTACAGATTTAATTCAAAGGATGATTCAACCTTCCACATGACAGCTAACCGAAGGTCTGAAAAATTCAAAATAAAATGCACTCTTCCAAATGTCACCCACTCATTTTTCCAGACCCTTCCACTAGTGAAGATGCTATAAAATTATTCTGGGTATCACAGATACTAGCAGTCCCATCAGTTTTTGAGGGAAAACAGAAGTAGAATTTGAAGGGAAGAGGATAAAGCAGAAAGGTGGCAGAGAAGAGGAATATAGAGGAGAGGACTAGCAAGAGACTGGAGAAATGTACCCATGAATGCATCCTCACATTTATCACATCTTCTTCAATAACACTTCCCCACAGACAAACACAACTCAAGCTTGAGGATGTCAGAGGTGTCCAACCTGCAGTACTCATGCCATGAGTGCCTCAGGGGCAGATGGGGCAGAAAGCAAAAGCAGAGCAACAGCTCAGACAAGAAGAACAGGGTGGAAAAGCAATAGATTGGGCAGGGAGCATGGGGCAGGGAACAGAATGCAGAGCAACAGATTGAGCAGGGGAAAGAGATCAGAGTGGCACTCAGGGAGGGTTTGGGACATGCCTGCCAAAAAGGCTGGCCCCACTGGTTTAGAAGGTTCTACATGCTGTCCTAAAAGTTGAACCAACAGAAGAGCAGAACATTGTCAAAACTTGGGGTTACAGGCATTTATGGATAGCAAGTATAGCTGCTTGCTCCTTGTGAAACCATGCCACAGGTAAAATTCAGTTCTTAAAACAGACTGCTGATATTCTCCCAAAATAAGTTATCAGGAAAGGTGATTTTTTATACAGACTGCTACTCTGAGGGCGCTTACACAAGTTACATTTATCACATGATTGGACCACTGAAACCACTCTGCACCTGTGACATAACACATGTGCATGACTGCAGAGACCTTTTAAAATGGCTGATTGCATAAAAATTAACCCTGGTTACATGAACGGCACGTGCCCCTGGTGGCTGGGGTGGCACGGCTGCACTGGTGGTGGCAGAAGCCCAGCAGTGGTGAGCGGGGAGCTCCCGCAGATGCTGCCAGCACTGTTGGGGGGTGGGGGGGAGTGGCGAGCACTGGCCATGGGTCAGTGACCACTCGCAGGTGCTGCCAGCAGTGTCAGCTGTGGCCAAGGGCGATCAGAGACCACCCGCAGGTTGGCGGGGTGGGGAGTGGTGACTGCCTACAGTCACCACAGACAGTGTCAGTGGCGCCTTTCTGCAGGAGGTACACCGCCACATGCACCCCCTACACATCGCCCCTGCCTGGTCAAATGAGGTATTAGGGGAAGGCACTCTAAAGCAGAGTGCCTTAGGGAACTTGTGTTCCTTCCAGTGTTCATTTTTCTACACTTTGCAGGGCTGTCAGCAGGGGTGGGGGGTGGAGGGGGAAAGGGAATGGCTGCTTTGCCTAGCCAAAGCTGAAGAGGGCAGGTGGGGTGGAACAGAGCCCCCTCACCTGGCAGCCCCCCAGCTATCCTGGCTGGGGTATTGCAGGGAGCCAGGCCAGGCCCATGTACCAAAGGGACTCTGTTCCCCGCCCCCCTTCCCCCACCCCCAGCTCTGGCCAGGCAAAGCAGCCAGCAGCTGCTGCTGCCACTGTCAAGAGACCCTTGCAGGGAAGGGAGCCCACCTTGCCTCACAGGCCTGAAGTGACTCCCCCCATAACCCCAGCTGGCGTAGCTGGGGGTGGGGGGGAGGCACATGGCAAGGGGACTCTATTCCACCTCCCTTCCAGCTTCAACCAGGCAAAGCAGCCAGCAGCTTCCTGCTGCTCCACTCCCCTCCCCTTCCCCCCTCTCCCTCTCCTACTGACAGTCCTGGAGCTGGGGGTGTGGGGGGAGGCCTGGGGAGAGAGGGAGTTCAGCAGATTCCTTGGAGGCTGCTGGAGTGCCCCTGCTGACTGGACAGGGACAATGCAGGCAGACTTGAGCTCTGCCCCCGGCCCCCACCGGCCCAACAGGCAAACATCTGTCAAGTTCTAATGGGGGATGGGGATGGTTCTAACTCATAGTGCTTTGTGTAAAGCGCCTTGAGGCCTGTAAGTGTCTGTAGGCACCCAAAGTGTATTCTTCAAGTTATTCAGCCTGCTCTTCAGACCATGTCCTATTTTTCTGATAAACGTTACTGACAAGTCAAATTTCTTCTCTTTGGGAGAAACAGAAGAGGTTGCCCCATTCAGCATAACTTGTTAGTACTTAAAGTTATCTTTCAACCCATGGTAACAGCAGTCAGATCCAACAATCGGCTTAAACAGATGCAACTACCACCACCCATGAATACTAACCCACTGTTTTCATCACTGCATAACTTTTCTGCTCGTGCACTAAAAATTTTCATCCTGTTCCAGTTGCATCATACAAGAGTGTTTAGTGTTCTCTATCAGTTGTGCACTAAAACACCAAGGAGCAATTAGTGGCAAACTCTATTAATATATTTATTGTTTACTTGGGCTTCCAACTTCATCTTAATGAGGTTCCATTACTTTTATTTACTCTTGTATGCATTTTTCTGGCCCTCTCTGGGGAAGAACATCTCCCTGTGCTGTGTTAGGGGACTTTAACCATATCTATCTACTTGTGTTTTTCCTTGCTTGTAGTTGAAACGTATCCTCCTAGTTACCTGTTCAGTAGAAGATTTCATAACTATTCACTGACCATATGGGGCTGCACTCATTTTAGGCCCAGAGCACTGGGCATCTAAAAGTAAATCTCTCATATACAATCACTGTCTTGAGAAATAAAGTCGCCATTGTCATTCTTTTGGTTTCAGATCTCCTTGTTCTTTGTGCAAGTAGCATTTGTGCAGTAATAATCAGGATATTTATGTGTTGGTATTGAAAAAGGTTTCTTTTATTCTAAAGAGCACTGGTGGTTTTAATCAGAGTCATCATTTATGTACCAATCTGTTCATGAGTGGTACTGGACAGCACAGGAGTAAGCCATTTCCCCAAGCATGGATCCAGCACACTATGTCCTTTTAAAACATCTGATGTGAACTTGGCTTCAACAAAAGCCTGTGTTCTATATATGTATAGATCTTATTTAGTTAGTCTAGAAAGGTGCATATCAACCCTGACTTCACACTATACTTATGCTGGGAGCACTTATTGTGAAGGAAAAGAGAACCACTTGTTTTCATGTCAGTAATATTTTGGAGTAGCTTAGATACAGTTAAAATACAGCAAAGATTCTGATGTTGTGGGTGAACATATGGAGAAAAATAGCTGTTGACTTAAGGTTTCAGATACCACACTATCTCTTCAGTTTGTTCTGCTGGTCCAAAGATTAATGCTGTCAACACAGAGACAAATCGAATCACGTATGAACATGCTGGATATCACTTCTGGTCTTAAAAATATTTCCTTGTCAGTCCCCTATTTCATCTTATGAGGAAGACATTTTTTTAACTGCTGACAGACAGAATACAGAGAATACAGAGTTCAGAATGTTAATATGTAAATAGATGATTTAGTAGGGTAACAAATTAGTTGGCATTCAACTGGTGTTCCCATTCTTTCCCATTTTGCTTTTAAACAACAGTATGGGAAAAAGCTTATAAATTTAAACACAGATAAAACCAATAGAGTTCTACAGAAAACCAATAACATTTTATGGTGAATTATATCCATTAAAGAAGTCTTTCAAAGCATTGTCTGGAAACTCGTTAGCTGGGACATAAAAGTCTTTTTTTTTTTTTTTAATTCTTTAGATGCAGGAAACCCCCCACACAGATGCTTATGAATTTTATTTCTCTCTTCTTTTATCTGAATGAAAACCTCTTTTTCAGGCTAACTTAAGAAGGCATTTCTATTCAGACCAGGATAGAAGAACATGCTCAGGGATGGCCTTAGGCACATATTAAATGTTTACTTAAACCGAGTTCTTTATTTTCTATAAACACTCATTCCATATTTTCATACATATAACACGCACCCAAATAAAACACACCTTGCTTGGCAAGATGTAAAAAATATAAAATAAAATAAAAGATTTTTCCAGAGTCATAGAATCATAGAATAGAAGGAGGAAAGGGACCTGTAAGACAATCAAGTTCGGTCCCCTGTCATGGGCAGGAGGTAATTGGGCTCAAATGAGCTCAACAAGGTGCTTGTCCAGCATCCTCTTGAACACCACCAGGGATGGTGACTGAGCCACCTCTTCTGGGAGCATGTTCAAGATTCTAGTTACCCGTGAAGTGACAGAAAAGAAGTTTTTCCTTATGTCTAGACTATACTTTTCCTTGACTAGCTTGTGCCCATTGGACCTCATCCTCTCAAGGGATGCCTTTGTGAAGAGTTGCTCCCCTAGATCCTGGTGTTCACCCCTGACATACTTATAGGCAGTTTCAAGTCACCCCTCAGTCTTCTTTTACTCAGACTGAACAAACCCAGATCCTGAAGTCTCTCCTCATAGGGCCTATCCTCCAGGTCCTTGATCACGCGGGTGGCTCTTCTCTGAACCCTTTTGAGCTTATCTACATCCTTCCTGAAGTGTGGTGCCCAGAACTTGACACAGTACTCCAGCTGTGGCCTCACCAATGCCCAACAGAGGAGGAGGAGCACCTCTCTGGATCTATTGGCAACACATCAGCTGATGCATGCCAGAGTTTCTATTTGTTCTGTTGGCGACTTCATCACACTGATGGCTCA